TTAATTTATAGGTTAGGTACTTATTAATCATCTTAGAATAGTTTTGCATTTTAACAGAATGACTTGGCATGTCTAAATAATATATACTCAGAGTTGACCTTCAGATATAATTTCTGAGGAATACCAGTTCTGGAATAACCCACTCAATTTCTTTCAGGGGGTCACAAGGCCACAACATTTCTGCTGATCTTGTTCTAAAATCTTATTAGCATGAAAATGCAAAATGACCACTTAAAATAGGCACTCTCATGTTGAGCTCCTAAAACAGTCTTTTCTTGCTGTAATAAGCTATTTGAGCTCAGTTCATTTTGCCTCATTTTATAGTTGTCACCTTTGTTGCTATCTTGGTGTACTATAATGAAATGACACTGAATCAGACAGCCTATAATTTTTATTGCAAGTATATCTCAAGGCAAATTTGTAAGCTGACTTGATATCAGAAATGAAGCTTGAGGGAACATGCCTTTGTTTTAAGTTACAAAATGCCCTGCTATTCTAAATTGGAAAATAAACTGCCTTCTTTGGAATCAAGCTCTTCACATAACCAATATATTAAGATATTCCTTTAAAAACTTATTGTGTACATGCCAAGACCGGTTTGGCTCAATGGATAGAGCGTTGGCTTGGGGACTGAAGGGTCCCGGGTTTGATTCCGGTCAAGGGCATGTACCTTGGTTGCGGGCATATCCTCAGTAGGGGGTGTGCAAGAGGCAGCTGATTGATGACTCTCTCTCATCGATGTTTCTAACTCTCTATCTCTCTCCCTTCCTCTCTGTACAAAATCAATAAAATATATTTTTTTAAAAATTTATTGTGTACAAAGCAGTTTTATCAACTAAACTCTTTGTATTTTAAGAGTACTAGAGGCCTGATGCTCAAAAATTCATGCAAAGGTAGGCATTCCTTCTCCCGGCTGCCAGCACTGTCTTCCCTCCAGCACCCAGGACCCAGGCTGCTTTCCTCCTTCTGCTGCCCACAGGCTTTGTCAGTAAGGACTTCTGGAAGACATCCAATCTAATTAGCATATTACCCTTTTACTAATATAGATTATACATCAAGTTGTAAAACTATTATTTAAAGTGATGTTATGTTATTAAGAAACACTGATTATGCCAAAACCGGTTTGGCTCAGTGGATAGAGCGTCGGCCTGCAGATTGAAGGATTCTAGGTTCAATTCCGGTTAAGGGCATGTACCTTGGTTGCAGGCACATTCCCAGTGGGGGGTGTGCAGGAGGCAGCTAATCAATGTTTCTCTCTTATTGATGTTTCTAACTTTCTATCCCTCTCCCTTCCTCTCTGTAAAAAAAAATCAATAAAAATATATTTTTAAAAAAGAAAAAAGAAACACTGATTATATTAAAAATCCCAACATTTGATTTAATTTTTTTTCATGGAAAGGTATTAGGGGTGTTAATTTATTTAACAACTAGTGCCTCAGTTCACTGATTTGTGCACATTGAAAGGAAATTAATTGGAAGGTAGCCAGAGGAGTGGGACTGGGCAAGACAGGCTGGACATGCCCTGGAGCCAAACTTCCCAGGTCCCTCCTGGTCTGCTGGCTGTACTTGGGATGGTGTCATGGCTTGAAGGGCATCTTCAAAGTGAGCAGGGTCCCTCCAGCATGTGGGGTTCTTTGGCCTAGCCTGTGGTGATCTGGCCGAAACCACTTCTCCGACATCCCCTGATGGGTTCCGGATTGCAAGAGGGTGATTCTTGGTTGACAAACTCTGGAAATGGGCTCCTTCCTCTCTAGTTCCAGGTGCGTCACCTGACAACTGCCACTGCCCAGTCACTGGTGGTCAGTGCGCATCATACCTACCAGTCAGTAGGATGGTCATATATATATATATATACAGATTATGACTACTTGGGCAAACCAGTTATATATTTAAACATCAGAATAAAAATTTTCACCCATAAACTATGATCTCAGCATAATCAAATTGAAGCCTGAGAGTTATAATCAAGATTGATTGTTGGAACCACTAAGCAGCTAGTAGCCAGTCCTAGCCTGTGTGGTTATTGTTTGTTTGTTTATTTGTTTTAGTTTGATTTATTGATTTCAGAGAGAGAAACGATGTGGGGGAGTGGGGGGAGAGAGAAAGAGTTGTACCTAGCAACATGTAGCTCGCTTATATATCTGTTTTTGCCTTCAATTGTTCATTCATATTGTCACTTTATTTTTTATAAACCGCATATCAATAGTTACAGACTATTTTAGAAAATTAGTCCTTTCAAAAGCAGTTTTTACATGCATTTTTTATGCAGCAAAAGTGTGAAACTAAAAGGAATTATTATGGTGGTTTCATATAGTAAATGATATACATCCACAACATAAAAAAACATACACAGTAGAATGCAAATTAAATTTTGCTAGACATTACTATTAGAAATTGGTATAAATCCTCTAACAAACAGCACATAATTGATTGTTTACAACACAATTTTGCACATGATGGAAACTGGTGACCTGCAAGTGTATTTCCAATACCCTTGCCCAAAGCTGGTTGTTGTTGGTTGCAAAGACCCCCAGGAAATCATTAGCAAACTCCATCTAGAAACAGACTCAAAGGTCAGAGGTATACATAACATGAGATTCATGGCTTGTGGTTGGAGAGCTGTGGGTATTTATTCTTGTTCAAAATGTAGTACAGTGTTTCAAAGAATCTGTTCCCATTCTCAGAAGAGTGAGTGTGAAACATGCCAGCATCTAATTTTGAGCAGTGTGCCAAAGACACATGTTCTTTCTTAAATGACAGTCATTAGAGTTGGGCACCTCATACACAGTCAATGAATTCCAGAAGTGTGGTAATTGGTTCTCTAAGAAAGTATAGAGTGGCTCTGAAACTCAAATGTAAGGAAATTGATCATCAATTTAGAGATAATTAGGGAAAGTAGATACCATCTTTACTCAAGATTGATTTGAAAATCCTGGACAATTTCACATTGCTCTGTAAAAAAGAATGCTAAGGTCATAGTTAGCTTTTCAGCAACATGGACTTTATTCCATTTGAATACAAATAGAAGCCTCGTGTGTGTGTGTGTGTGTGTGTGTGTGTGTGCACGCGCGCGCGCGCGTGTGTGTGTGTGTGTGTGTGTGTGTGTATGTGTGTTTCTCTATCACACACACACACACACACACACACACACTTAAAACCAATAATATAGCAAAATAAGTATAGAAATAAGAGTCAGAATTTTAATGTAGAAATATGATACTATGGCCTTTGGTACCAGTCAAGTCTACACTTGAATCCTATCTCTATCTTTCACTGAAGTGTGCCACTTTGAGCAAGTCCTTTTTCCCCACAACTTAAATTTCCTCATCTGTAAAATGGGTAAAATAGTTCTGAACATGAAGCATTGGTGTGAGTATAATGTATGTCAATTGCTTGGGGATGTATTCAGTAGACATTTGATTAGTAATGACTATCAAGAAACTAATTTTTAAGTATATACTTGCCCTTAAAACATGTTGAAGTTCACAATGTAATCTATATATATATATAAAAAACTAATAGGTTTAGTGTCTGACCATCTGATCGATCACTATGATGTGCACTGACTACTAGGGGGCAGATGCTCAGCTGCCTTGGTGTGCACTGGCCATCTACAGAGAAATGGCACCATGAACCTGGTGCCCAGAAAACAGGACTCAGCTTCCCCCCAAGTGGAATACAGGCCTGCCAACATCCTAGAGTGACAGCCCACCAAATGACAGCCTGCACTGATGAGACCCCATGGTGCAAAATGCAGCCCACAGTTCAGCTCAGCCAAGCCCAGAAATGGTGGCTGTGGGCTCTGGGGAATGACATTACATAGCAACACCTGGCTTCCTCTCTCTAGCATCTAGCCTCCTTGCAGTTTCTTCAGCCCAGGAACACGACTTGCTTTATAGCCAGGTGCAAACATTTCACACTTTAACCAAATGTCTGTGAAGTGTTTTCCCATGCCTCATCTTATTTGATCATCACAGAAATCCTGGAATAGGTAGATAGGAGACTCAATGGAATCCTATTTTCTTTTCATTAGCTAAAAACAGAGATTTAAAAAGCTTAGAAACTTGACCCTACTGAAAACAAATAAAAAATGGTGGGACTTTGAAAATGACTTCGGGTTTTTTCACTGTACAGAATATAGTCAAACACTGCTGCAATTAAATATTTTATCCTTTGTTCTCCCTGTATGATCTACAATAATAATAATATGCTTCATGTTGATATTTACTGCTGTGATGCTTACAATTACCTGAAAGAGAAGTTCTTCACTGGGCTGGAAAAAGTTTAGCTAAATAAAAAAGCAATTCTAATTAAGCAAATATATATATATATATATATATATATATCTTTCACTGGCACCAATCACACAGATGTGTTTTGATCTGTCATTGTTGATAATGAATTTGGTTGACTTTTCTATTATAGAGAAAGAGTGAATAGCGATATTAAAATATTTTTTTCTAATCACTTTCCTTTCATTGTACATGAATTTGTGCACTGAGCCACTAGTTATTTTATAAAAATTATTTAACCCTTGTCACCTAAAAGAACATAGGCTTAAGGCTTTAAAATATATTGATTTAAAAAAAAACACTTGATTATATGATTATCTAGCAATGCAATTTAGTGTTTCTTTGCTTTGATAGGATTGCTAGATTTTATTGTTTTGTAGTGCAGGTTCACACAGAAAGAAAGAAAGAAAGAAAGAAAGAAAGAAAGAAAGAAAGAAAGAAAGAAAGAAAGAAAGAAAGACCACCCACATTGCTTTACCACTAGAAATTTTCAACTTCCTTTAAGAAATGATTTTGTCTTTTCATGATTTATATATTGCCATATATCCTAAAAGCAATCCTCCTTATATATTTCATCTTAATGTTAATAAACAACAAACTAAGAAAAGCAATTTAGCATCTGTGTTCACATATATTGCTCTTTGTTTCCTTTAACTTTATTTCCACTTGAAAATATTCTTGTGTCTCTCTTCTCCCCTAATAATTAAGGTCTCTCCAGGACCTTTCCAAGCAGACAGACATTCCTTACGGCACGGTCCTGGACTCTGCAGTGTATGAGCATGTGCGTATGAAGGGAATGAATCCTTTCGAGAGGGACAGCATGTATTCCCAAATGTGGCGGATGATCAATCGAAGCAATGGATCGGAGAATAATGTTCTGGAGTCCCAAGCAGGCATTGAGAAGGTACTGGCTATAGTTCTTTATTCATAGTCTACTCTTTTGTCTCTCATGTTAGAATTGCTGCTAAGTTTAGCAATTTCTTTTTTTAAGTTATTTTAACTTTGATGTGAGTTTTCAGTTGCATTATACTTTCTGATGATTTAAAGAAGAGTTTGAAGGGATAGTGTACCAGTAGAGGGAATTCAAACCCTCTGAAGTGTGTGTGTCTAAAGCAGCATTTTCAACCAGATTTAAAAAAAAAAATACAATACTTGGCTATTTAGTCAGGGGCACTGACCTTATTTCTCTTAGATTATAAGCAAATTTAAAAAAATTAAAAATGGACAACAGCCAGCACAATAATAGCTGACCAGAGTGAATGAATTAGAACCATACTTATATTTTTGTCAGATGGGAAAAAATGTATTTTGGTGTGCCACAGCATTTTAGTAATTAGCTTCTGTGTGTAATGAGATGAAAAATGTTGAAAATCACTGATCTAATGGATCAGTGAATTCAAAAGCTAGAAAACAGGAGCTTGTATTTTTGTTCAGAACAGGCTTAGATACTTATAAACATGAAGACTGAAAATGTTTTCACAAATCCCATTCCAAATACCATTCAGGTTATTCAATCCTTTCAAACACCTATTAGTATTTTCTTTTTTGCTTTTGTTTATCTTCACTTATGATTATGTGAAGCAATCTGTGAGTAAAAGTTAATCTTGTCGACAAAATTCCTACCAATGACTGTTTTTATTTCCAAAGATGAAAATATTTATATATTATTTTTATATAGCTATCACTTAAAAGTTATTTTACCAAAGAAAAAAAAGGGGGTGTTGTTTTGTTGGTGAAAGCAGGAAGCTGATTTTTATTCTGGCCTGTGGTTTATAAACATATACACAAAGGTAACACTTTCTCTCAGACCCCATCAACCTCCTTGAGAGAACTGCATGGTTTTTGCTTAAGATTGTTCTAGTGGATAGCCTAGTAAAAATCACAATGGTTGATAGTTAATAAAAATTATTGAATGAACAAATAAATGAATAAGTGAGTGAATGCGTGAATGGATCTCATTAACAGCAGCAACGGTGGCATACACTTTCTCTTTAACCTTCCACCCAGAATAATTTGGATCCCATGTCTGAGTTCCTTGTTTAAAAGCAAACTAAAAAACACTATGTTGGAGAATGTTTTGATGACTATCAATGTTATTCTGCCATGGATTTTAGCGTTATTCTGTGCCGTTCAGATGGTATTATTTGTCTGTTACTGCTATTGCTGTGGTCCACTAGAGTCAGCCTGGTGATTTTTGCAGACACTACATTGATATCATTATTTAAAGAAACTGATGCTGCTGACATAAACCGCCTTTAAGGAAGTGAATGTCCTTGAAATATTAGCAATGGCCTCCAACTCCCTCATTCTTATATTAGTCCCCATTTCTCAGGGTCCAGGTATGGATCCCAGTGTTTCTATTTTGGATGAATAGATCTACATGTTATCTGAAGGAGAAGGGAGAGTAGGCACTTTAGGGTTTACTAGTGACTCATAGGATATAAATGAATTTAAGCCTATAATAAATATACTAAATGGATTTTGAAAGATTTTTTTCAAATTATCTGCTATTAAAAATAAATTTGTTTTCTTGAGAATGAATATAAACTTTACAACTACAAGACATTATCACTTAATAGTCCTAAGGTTAACTTAAAATTGTCACATAACAAAAAAGATAATGTAATAAAAGAAGTAGAGAACGATTTCTATTCCCTGATAGTCTGCTAATAAAAAGGACTTATGAATTTAAAAATGGCGAATCAAATCTCCCAGTATTTATTATATCACATTTATTCAGTTTTCTAATTTATAGAGGGGTATTAAAGAATGTCTTTTGGAAGTCATAAAGGATAATATCAACATGAAATTTGCTTTAATATATATTTCAACCAAAATCACAGACAGGTGACAATTGACTAGACAAAGAAGAGGAATAATAATAAAATGAATTTTGGTTTAGTTTGCAAGGTCTTGCCCAGCTTCTATTAAAATAAAACCTACCAACCAACAATAACCTTTTCACCTGTGAAAGCTCAGTGGGAGCTCATGAGAACACATAAAATGCAATTGTGGATTCTTCCTCAAGCAACTAGCCTTGCACATCCCACATAGCAGTTTCCTGTTCTCTGTCATTGCCTTCTAATTTGTGCAGGCTGAAGGGACCTCAAAGGTCAATATTCCACCGAAGACCAAACTTCTACAGTATCTTGGCCATGAATTTGCAGATACGGTATATAGTAACTGCCTTCCAGGAAAGCCTGCCTCATTGTGAAAAACAATCCTCACAATCTGATTATAACTTTATATATCCAATTAATGTCTCAGGTTCTGTTTGTTCTTAATTGTGTTACTAGTCTCATTAACTTTCTCTTATTTGAAGATAGGTCCAGATTCTTTCCAACATCTTTATTCTGCTCTTACTAAAGAAACCTATCTAAGTGAGGATTAAGTAAATGAGTTCTGATTTGCTGTTATTGGGAAACATGCACCGAAATCAAGCTAGCCTAAATAAACTAAAACAAACTTGTTTTTGCTTTCTTCTTCTCAGGATGTTTTGCATAAAAGTGGGATTTGAAAAGTATAACTGAATTTTTAATGCATGTATTAAACAATTATTTATTGAGCACCCACTATGAGTCAGCCACTATTTTAGTCACTGTCGTGAACATAAATGAAAACAAAATGCCTTCATGGAGTTTAGTGAAGAAAGTATACAATAAATAAGATAAATAAAATGTTACATTTTAGTAGTAATATGTGTTAAGGAGAGAAACAGAGGAGGATAAGGAGAGAGGGACATGGAGAAGATGATCTGTTTTGTTACATCAGATGACAAGGGAAGTCTTCACTAAGGAAGTGACACTGGAATAAAGACTTGAAGCAGGTGGTGAAGAGAGGGGTTGGGAGAGGGAGAAGAGGAGAGAGAAATCTTGGTGAAGTTGAAGTGTTTCCAGACAGATGGGTCAGCCAATGAAAAGGTCCTGGGTGGGGGGATGTCTGAATATTCTAACTATGAGAGAGGCCAGTGTAACTTCAGGAATAAGGGATAATATCAGAAGTGTAACAAAGTCAGAGAGGTGATAGGGAGAAGGCAAATCATACAGGATTTTATTACAGCACTAGAGGACTGGTACATAAAATTTGTGCATGGGGGATGGGGTGGGGGTTCCCTCAGCCTGGAGGTACCTTTCCAATCCAGGACCCCTTGGGGGATGTCTGACTACAATCAGACATCCCTCTCACAATCTTGGAACACTGGTTCCTAACCCCTCACCTGCCTGCCTGCCCCGACCGGTCTGATCATCCCTCACTGCCTCTGCATGCCAGTCTGACTGCCCCTAACTGCCACTCCCCACCAGCTTGGCACCCCTAATTGCCCCCCTCTGTCAGTCTGGTCACCCCATGCAGCCTTCTTGTTCAGTCATTTAGTCATCCTCATTAACCTTCCTGTTAGCCTGGTCATAGGCAGCCATCTTGTGAGGGTATGAGGGTAAATTTGCATATTACCTCTTTATTATCTAGGATAAGCCTGGGAGTTACCTGCATCAACATCACTTGTTGGAATGCAGATTCTTAGGTCTCATTTCAGCTCTTCTGAATGTGAATTTCATTCTAACAAGATTCATAGCATGCTAAAGTCTGAGTACATATGCTGTACAGAACTGTATATTAAGTGGACTTTTACTCTGTGTAATACATGATACTTACTTAGGAAGTTTTGAACATAATAACATGGTCGAATTAATATTTTGGTAAATTGTGTCTGTTGTATTGAGAAAAACAGAAGATGTCGATGTAGAAACTGGAAACCAATTAGGAAGTCAATATGATGACTCAGAAATTCTGAAATTATACCATTGAAAATCAATCTCTGTTAAAACCCAAATACATCTTAGAATATTATAACTTTAAACTATTATCATTAGTACATTGGTGGAGATTTGGTTTATCAGATTATTTTAGGAAGAACTGGGACATGAGGCAGGTAATTTCTGAGAATAGATAGGAAAATTCTAGTCATAGATAAGGATCTGAGTTGGAATGATATATCTGTGTATAGCACTGAAATAGAGACATCTCTGGTTATTAAGAGGGCAATATTTATTATCTGATAAGCTATTATAATTCAGATGTGAGAAACAAATTATTCCAGAACTTCAGCAATAAAGGCTACTAGGGAAAAAAAGAAAAGCAGGATTGGTAGGATTATAACTTCTGCCCTAGCTAGAGGACTTCAATGTTAAGTAAATAATTCTTCAGACTATGTAGTTAAATGCAGGGAGGAGAGGGAGAGGAAGAGGGACTCTGAAGGATACTATGATAACAGGAAAATGGGTAGTGGTGGCAGCAGCATTATTCAACCAGAAAAATCAATTTGCAACATCACTCATCTACTTAAGTCTCAGAACAGGGTGAGTAAAAGGGAGCTGCCAAAGTTCAGTTGGGGCATCAAAGCTCTATCCAAGCCACGGGGCCAGCTCTCATCCTAGCTGGAAGACTGGAGGATTGAAATGAAAGCCAAGACTGGAAGCAGGGAGATCAGTGCGGAGGCCATTGCTATAATCCATGTAAGACACAATGCTGGGTGGACCAGAATGGTTATGGTGTGATTGGTGAGAAGTAATTGAAATTGAAAATCTTTTGAAGGTAGCTTTAACAAAATTTTCTAAAATATTGCATATGGAGTATGAAAAAGCAGAGTTAAAGATGAATCTAGAATCTTTGGCTTAAGTAGTTGGAAGAATGAAGCTGTCATTTTTTTTTAAGTTGTCATTTCATTCATAAGAGACTAATAAGTAAACATATGAAAAGAAATGCTTAGTGTTGGAAGCTCTAGAATGCAGACCCTCCCTGAAGAAAGAAACTCCACAAATTAATCCACCATGATCATAAAAATGTACATTTAAATAAGATAGAGTTTACAATCCAATCATGCATAATTCTGGAAAATAGATCAATGAA